AAAATTTTAAAGTACATATAGCATTCTACTAATATTCCTTTTTGAATAAAGTTATTTAAAAGTAAAAAGTATAACAAATATTTAATTTAAATAATATCATAGAAAATATATTAGTTGAAATACTAATATTTTCAAGAATAGTTTTGGTAGCTTAATTTTATTTATGATTTTAGTAATTTACAGATACGCAAAAGTAATTTCCAACTGAATTTTTATTAGTAACCTTATTTTATATAATTATCCTTGTTAACGCAGTTCAAAAATAAAAACGAAGAAGTTCTCTTTAAAAATTATTTTAATTTCCCCAATCGTAACATTAACTTTGCTCAACCTATACATGTAATTTTTATGATTTGATAGGAGACTATGACAGAAGTTGACTTAGCTTCCCAGGTTCCCTTTGATGTCATCTATACAGCCATAAAAATATAGTATTATATTGTATAAATATTTCAATAAAATCACAACATTTTTTAATATTTCACTACATAAAAAAGAATAATAGTATTTGACTTAGTCTCAATAGTTCTCACAACATCACATAAAATGCTATAACAAACAGTGTATTGCTCAGTTGATTAATGATTATCCTTCCCTACTAGGATTTATCATTAATTTTCTGTCACAATAGTGATATACCAGAGCTTAATTGGCCGTAATGCAATAACCAACAAAATTATTGTCTGTGCATGGTGCAGTACCGTTCATCATCGTTTGCAGTTTACCATAACAAAAGACATAATGTCCCGGCACGTGTCTAATTGCAAATTCATATACTACACCCTAAGCATCTAGATACCACTAAGAGATCCAGATGGCTACTGATATTATTGGTATAAATCAAACAGCGTGTAATTATGTGTCAAATTAGGCGAAACTGGTACAGTTTTTTACCCTCCCATGTTAACTAAAAATCTTCTTAGCGCAAAGTATTATATTCAGAATAGACATATACTTTTTTGTTTATACACAAATACAATCATATAGTGTTAATTAGTATAATGCACAAATAAATATATAGTACAGATTTTACTAAGCCAAATTTATAGATTTGTTTCAATACACATTAAGATAAGTAAAATACTCAACTTCAAGTAAATGTAAACATTCAAAATTAAATAAATATTATTTTTCATTTCTTAATTTTTGTCAATAAATTGTAATTAATAAATATGACAGGTAAATTAAAGTTTACTTTCTTCAGGTTTTCAGATGAGTGACAACTTGAGAATATTAGAAACGAGCCGTCTCACACGGCCCCAGTCATGACTGTAATTAGTTTCCTTAATATGAGATGCATTTGAAACTCAACCGATCCTTACTCTTATTCTTAGTTAATAACATAGTATAAAACAAAAAAAGCTTAATTTTTAAATTTTTCATTGATATGCTTAGGTAGTTATACAAAACTAAATTAACAGATACGTAAATTATTCTCATATAAAACAATTACGTATCGAAAAGAATGGAACTTAACTCATGAAATCAAATTTTTTCAGTAAAATAGAATATTATCTCCATTAAAAGTAGCAGATATTAGTAATTTATTTTTAAATAACATGCCATTATCAGCTGTTTTATTCAAAATTGCCCTTTTTGTTTCATATACTGTAAATAATTGATTTTTTTTTTTTTTTTTAAATTGTTTATTTTTAATTTTTCTTAGGAGTTACCCTTATCTTAGGGCCAAGATAAATTTTTGATGCAATGCATCCAGTGTTGATTTTTTATGAAAATTAAAGGCAAAATAACTATAGATCATGTTTTCGGTTTAATGTCTAGAGGAGATTCATCTATGGTCATAACACACTACGACACACACATATTCGCTAATTGACGAATCCGTTTGTACGTTTAATTGGACTAGGGGTGAATTCTGAAAGCATAAAAACAAATTGGATAAACAATAACGCTCCACTGGGTAAACAAGATGTCAGCCCAAAGCAAATAAAACGTTGGGTTTGTAAAGTTTTTAACAAGTCGAAACTTTTAGTGTACATACATAGAAAATATAATTTTGGCATATGTACTTATATAATGTATATCAACTATTATAAATTAAATAATAGTTACTAACAGTGGAGCAACCAAGTGACGAAGGAGTTTAAGAATTTTAACCCCTTCTTTTAAAATTATTTACTGGTTGCATCAATGGTTGTTAAAAACGATGCTTAGGTCATTCATTAAATACAAATTAACAAATCATTCAAAATGAGATTTGAAAAAAATAACTGGTAGTACAATAACTATAGTAAAGTAATTTATCATTACTTGGCAAGTAAAAATATAGGTTAAAAAAAATTTTTATTTCAAAAAAGAAGAAGACAAACCACGTCTTTAAAAAATTTTTACTTAATTTCAGAGCCATTGTACTTTTGAATAAATATGTATGTTATTATGTCACTTTTATTTTTAATAGCTCTTGAAAACAAAATAATTTACTTTGTATTTATATACACGAGAAAGAAAGTAATACATAATTTACAGAAAGATATTTGGTCTATTTGGTTGACAAGATTCTAAATCAATGAAAGCTCATTTGATACTATTGTAAACATTTTTAAATTAAAACACTTAATTTTAAAAATATTATTCACATATGTTATTCAGTAAAACATAATCATACTACATCGCATTTTAGAACATAAAAGTTAATCTATGCGTATAATTTTATAAGCACAATCAATATTAATATATAGCTATAAAGAAAATACATACTATACAATTTATTGTCTAACATTACTGACTTGTAATATTATCATATGTTTACATTCAAAGCCTACTATAATTGAGATTTATAAAAGAATTACAGATATATTTCATTGATAAAATGTATTATACAATAGTAACTGGCTTACATTACACGTTTTATTTGTAATGCCAAAACTTTAAGGAAACATTTTTAAAAATTAACTATCAACAAGCTTACTACATTTTGTTCTTTTCATTCACTTATAACTCTTAGTAACTGTTATAACATCAATAATAAGCATTGGACTACCATTAACAAAACAATAAGAATCTTGTTTGATACTCAAAGACAGCGTAGCAAATTAAGACAAAAAAAAAAAGGCTAATAGAAAAGCACACTGAATACTTAATATATTTTACATGATACTATGTGTATTATATAAGATACTTAAGACAGTTAACTTATTAATGTATATAAACATCTAAAATCGTTCTAATAATAATAATAAAAAAAAAAAAGAGTACTATATTTAAAAACCATTATGAAAACAGTGTTTATTTTCGTTTAATGTATAATAAATATTTTTTATATATTTAATGAATATCGATGACCTTTTTTTATAATAACTTGAGTAAAATTATTGTAACATTTATAATTCGACCACCGCGGTTGCGTGTCAGCCTATGTGCCGAGGGCAGCTTATTGATTTTCACCTGACTACCAAAACCTCACCAACTGCGCCACTCGGTATACAGACACTACACTACGTTCAAAATGCGTTACCATTTGAACTGTATACTAATTCCCTAAATTAATTGTAAACAAATACATGAAACAAATCAAATTTTAATTAGTTTATTCCTCAATAACTTAAGGTAGATTATTATTCAATAACTCTGAAACAAATGAAAATTCAAAGTTTTCTATAACAGTTAACAAAATAATTATGCAGAATTCATGTCTGTACGCTTAATATAATATAGCACATAAAAATATAAATTTCAATTGATACAAACAATGTAGATAATAGTTCTTATATTTTCATGATCATAACTTACTTTCTTTATACCCAAAAAGAAAACACTCTGGAAATGCAATGCTTAAAACAACTATTAATAAATATTGATGTAAATAAATAAAAATCTTTTATTTAGTAGCTTAATAAAAAAAATATATAGAGTGTTCAGTAAGTAAGAAAACAGATTTCTAATGTTCTTATTGTTTGTAATAATTGATCTGTTTCCATACTTTTTGAATAATCTGTATTGATGAATTTATAAAACTAAATAATTTAGTTTCATTGAGTGTTTTATTATAAGATAGTATTTCAATATAATTATTATATTGAAATACTATCTCATAATTATACATCTGGTTTATTTTATTTTAAAAGTATATGCAAGTGTTTGGTAAAATAATCATTATAAAGAAATAATTATTATTATTATTATTTCGATGTAAGATTAATTATTTTCGTTTTATTGGGAAATCAGCAACGCAGTATTTAGGTTCAACATTTTAATAATACTACAATAAAATATTTAGTACCGATATCAATTGACAGGTATTGGTAATATATATCATAGTTAGTATATTTAATAGAAAATATTTTAAAGTTCGAGAGTATTACTAATTTTAATCGCAATGAATGAATTCTATACTGTTATATTGTTCAGGGAACCTTGATTTATGTTTTGAAAATTTACCTGAATACACTTATTATCAAAATTAATGGAATTTTTTTAAGGGTATCTAAACTCTTTGTCTGGAGAAGACAATTCCTGTTTGCTACCGTGGGACACATAGCCATGTGTTCGCTATTAGTTTGATACGGTAGAAAAACCAACCCTAGGGTGTTTTATGATTAAACGAAAACACTTTTACCAAAAAACTACCATAACTGAAAAATTAAACTTCATTCTCTATCATTCTACAAAGCTGAATTCCAAACTGTTTGTTATATATTATTAGAAAATATATATATACTTAACTAATAGGAAATTAAATCATGCCTAACATTACTGTTATAAAACACATAAAAATAAATGACGAAATAATGAAGAACAAACAAAAATTTGTGTATGTGTAATCTTAAGCGTTCTTCGTTGTTTTGGATTTAATTCATTAGTTTTTTCATCCACCTATTAGATTATATTTCATCTAAAATATTCAGACTTCAAAAAGCTAAATTTTTAGTAAGAATCCTTTTTAAACAAACTCTACATATAATACTTACATTTAATACAACAATAGAAAATTTAATAGACTGTTTGTGTATAATTTATTGCTTTAAATTTTTATTTTTTAGTTGGAATTGCCAAAGTTACCTATTCCATTACTGGAACGTACCATGAAATTGTACCTCGAAACTTTAAAGCCCATTTTAGATGAAAAACAACATGATAGTGTACGTAGACTAGTGTCAGTGTTCACTAATGGGCCAGGACCAATGTTGCAAGAATTGTTAATTGAACGTAGAGAAGAACGTGACAATTGGGTAAGTAAATGGTCGTAAAACAAGCGTATAAATTTTATAGTAAACAGGATTATCATTTTTTTTATGCATTTTTAATCCCGGAGGGTCGATTGTCGAAAAGAGTATGAAACATTTGGTTGTATCAAAGCAAAATATGTAATTCAGCTCACGCGAACAAATGGAGTAACGAATGCTCAGAGTTTTCATATGCGCTTTGGGGGAGGTATATTCGGTGCCGAGAGCAAATCCAATTAGTCAGAAACGTGACGAGTCTGTTTCTATGATGAGTTTTCCCAAAAGACCAAGAACCCTTCTGAAAACGAGATAAGCGGAAATTTTATTCACGTGTTAACGTTGATTGGTTAAGCACAACCAAAACGTGAAGTTTGATTTAAAAATTTAGTAGATTTAAAAGAAAAAATGAATCGATTAATTAGTCTATTTTTCATTATTTATTACTTTCTCATTTTGCCACATAAAATATTTTTAATATGTCTATCCATTGGCTACATAAAATCTTTTTTCTTCAATGACACCATAACAAGAAATATATGCAAAAATTAAAATCATGCTATAAAATCACCGAAGTATTTATACACTTTAAGTAAAAACTGAAAAAAACCTAATACTATTTTTATTTTATAAAATCAGTTTTTTATTCAAACTATAGAAAAAAAAGTATTTTTTTTACTATGGTTTGTTAATTATTAATGAAATCCTAGCACATTGTAGTTATCATTCTTGTATATTCAACTTTATTATTGCTATTATCAATAATGACAGTTATAAATGTGTAGATACAAATGATAATACATATTTTTCAATGAGAATATTCATAATAATATAAAATATCAACATTGGAATAGTCATTTCTATTTTTAAATTATATATCCAATCGATATATAATTGAATATTATTTATATATAATTTTGCTTTTAAATTTTATTTTTTAATTGTATGTATAAACAATGATTTAATCAAAACTTTGTTTTATATCACTTTTTTAAAATAAAAATTAGTAATTTTGAGATATAATGAGTAATTATTAATATAAAAGTGACATATTATATCAATAAAGTCATCGCTTGTTATTAAGAAGCAAATAACTAAGTCTATTACGTAAAAAATACACGCATTGAAAATAGCACTTTTGAAATAACTTGATATAATTTAAAAAACATTTACAAGATATTGATTAGTGAATGAAAAAAGAATTCCCATCCTATGTAACCCTAAAAACTAGTATTTATATTTTCAACAATTGCACTACAATGTTGAGTACTAACCGTAATAAGTATTTTAAAGCTTAGTGATAAGGCACGAATAATTCACAACTTTAATAGGTTGTAGGAAGAACAATGGACCAGATAACACATCGCATACCCTTATTACAATTTACATATTAATTCAGCTATCGTAGTATACACCATGTTTTTGAATATTCATTTTGTATGTAATGTTAAAATTATGATTTGTGAAAATTTAGTTTATCTACTAACATTCATAAAATGTCGTAACTCAAAAGTTTTTTTTTGTTTTGTGTGTAATAAGATAAATTTCACAACATTTGATTTTCTGAGTTTAATTCCGCTTTTAAAAAGACCCAAACAAATAGCAGTTGCTCAAACTGAAGATAAAATAGAAGATATATTGTCTTCAATATCATTTTTGAAGAGCAATAGATAATGATTTGAATTCCCGAAAACCAGCGGTGAATAAAAATTGCCAAGGTTTATCACATAATTTGTAGATTGGTAGCAGAAGTTTTTTTATTTTACTTTTAGTGCTCCTCTCTTTGTGGTTAGAATAAATGTGTCATATAGGATTGTGCTAGTAAGAGCGTATACGCCCACGCGTTAGAGGCACGCAGTCTCGATGGGGCTGCCAATGACCGAATAGCGTTGGCCACACCATCGGGTGGGTACATTACACTACCACGGCCTTCTCACAATTTACGTAACTTTTATTTTTCGATTTAACCTCCTTTTCTTTATTTGTAACTACACTTAAAATATTTACGAAAACTATAATAGATAAATTACTCTATTCTACTTTACTATCCATTTTCCAAAGAAAAAACATAAATTAAATTAATTTTCTCAGTGTTATCAAAATACTTAAAAATGATAAAATATCATATAAAAAATAGTATTATTATTCATCATATTATAAACATTATGTATACATAAAACAAAACTGATCTATTAAAAAGTTTCTTAGTGTATACTTATTATTCTAATTCATACATCTTAATGTAAAGTGTTATATTCACATAAATGTTAAAGAAGATTTATTTCAAATTCACACTCACAAGTTTACGCTAAGGAGTTCTTGTGTTAGTAAACTAGAAGTTGCACTCCTCAAATAGGTCACATGAAGATAAAATATTACACATAGAAATATATATTATACAATACAAAAACATATAGAAATCATTTTGCTGTTTAGGATAAAATTAATCAAATAATATATATACGTCTACTCAAATATATTTTTAATGACTAAATCATTTTATATAATACAATATATAAAATAAAAACATAATTTATTGTTATTTTGTACAAAAAATTATGGTAATATCACAATAAAAAATGTAAGATGTTAATAAGTTCTAATGAAATAAACAATTATAACAATCTCTATAATAATTAGTAAGGCAAATATATTTAGCTTTACATAACTTACATTTTTTTAATAATATAATATAAAATTATATTAATATAATCTCTTTCAGTAATAAATATTCACTTTTTACTTGTTTTGATGCAGTGCTCGAATTGGGGGGGGTGCGCAGGGGGACGTAGCTCCTCTACTTTATTTTAAATTTTTTTGCGCACCCTAACTACTTTTTTTTATTGGGACGGGAGGACGGTGGACAATACCACCTCTTTTTTTTTTTTTTAAATATTAGTATGATAATGAAATATGATTTATTAATAAATACTAAATAAAGTAATGAGAAAAAAAAAAAAAAAAGGTCTTCAAAATGCTAGGGACGCAGTTTTCAAATTGTTAAGTTGAGCTCCCCTACTTTTTTTTGGCCAATTCGAGCACTGTTTTGATGTAAATAATACTTCTTTATAGTTTAAAATTAGTTAGGAAATTTTCGTTCCGAATTAAAGAAGCTCTAAAAAGTATTGAACTAAATCATGATCGTTTCATAAAAAAGACAAAATTTTTATTAAAAACATAAATAATTTTTTATATTAGGCTTATGATTGGTGGCTTCATGATATGTATCTATGTAATCAAGTTTGTTTGCCTGTAAATTCAAACCCTGGAATGGTATTTCCACCGTTGCCAAATTTTTCAGATGAAACACAAATGGCTAAATTTTCAGCCAGATTCGTTGTTCAAATGATGAATTTTAAACGGATTTTAGACAAGTAAATACATTTAATTGTATCTATATTTTTTACTCCATTAATAAAACATTTATATTATGACTAGGCGAGCTTTACCAGTAGAAAAAGCAACATCAAGAGAAAAAGGACAACCTTTATGTATGGCACAATATTATAGACTAATGACGTCATATAGAGAACCTGGTCTAGTTAAGGATAGATTAATCAATGTAGAATCAGAGCTTACAATATCTCGCCCGCATATAATAGTTGCTTGTAAATCTCAGGTAATTTTATTAGACTACGCACACATTTATCGATTGTATCACTCATTTTGCCAATATTTAATTATGTTAAGTTTTACGTATTACGGTTAACAACCGGTGATGATGCTACACCATTGTCTGAGGAACAAATTGCAACTAAGTTACTCGATATAATACTGGATGCTAAAAAATCTACAGATACAACGAACACCAAGTACACCGTAGGAATTTTGACATCACAAAAACGAGATGATTGGGCTCATAGTAGAGAATTATTGATGAAAAGTGCATCAAACCGCAATAACTTAACATTAATCGAGAGAAGCTTGTTTATCATAAATTTTGATTTGGAGTCACCTGGCTTGGAATATAATTCAGATTGTAAGGTTGGAGCTAAAGGATATTTGCTATCTAATGAGAGAGATGAAACCAATATGATACATCAAATGATGCACGGCGGAGGAAGCGAATATTGTACAGGAAATCGTTGGTTTGATAAAACTATACAAGTATGTAATATAATTTCAGAATAAATGTATATAAATTTAATTATTCCTCATTTATTTAAAATTTCATTTTTAGTTGGTTATCGGTCAAGACGGTGCCAATGGATTATGTTACGAGCACTCGCCATCAGAAGGCATTGCCGTTATTGAGCTTATGGAAAAATTAATTAAAAGTACTAAAGATTTAAATGAACAAGTAAATAACCCCATCGCGTCAACTGAAAAAATAGAAAAGCTAACATGGAGTGTCAATAACGAGCTCATTAAACATATTGCCGATGCTTCTTCCACAATTGATCGGTAACAAATGTTTCTGAAATTAAAATTAAATTAATAAATAATTAAGTATAATAACATCATTTTATAGTAATTTTATAAAAAATAAATAAACTCTATAGTATTACTTGCATATATAGGTTGGTCAAAAATCTCGATTTTCACGTATTTCGTTTCACTCAATATGGAAAAGAATTCATTAAGTCGTGTAATGTCAGCCCAGATGTTTATATTCAATTAGCTATGCAGTTGGCTTATCACAAGTAAAATATATTACTCTAATTATTTACATTAGATTAAATTATTATTAAGGGTGTCTGGAAAAATATATCAAGGAGTAACACATATTTTTCCACATTATTACAAATAATTATAACTTTATTGAGTAAGTAACTTATTATTATACACTGACATTATAAGAAAATTTAAATTGTGTGACAACGCAAAAATAATTGACTCGGATTGAAATTTCTGGCATAATATGGTTAAAATTTGGTAATATTAAGGTGATTTTATTATTTATTTTTTTATTTATTTTATGAACAGAATTCAAATTAAAAAATAAATAATTTTAATAAGCAATTAAAACTTTGAATCAATATTTATATGATGGTCAAAGGAACTTAATTAATTTTTAAACACTTTCATCGCATCTTAACTATTATTCATTTTGATAATAATAATGTTTATAACCTTTGTGAAGTATCTAATATTATTTAAAGGTTACATGGAAAATTGGTTGCAACATATGAAAGTGCATCTACAAGGCGCTTTAGATTAGGCAGAGTGGATTGTATTCGTGCGGCAACAGTAGAAGCGTTAGAATGGGCAAAAGCTATGAATCAGTCGGCAGTTACAGAGTCCGGTATACTAGGAACAAAAAAAATATACTACACCGCGACTGAAGTAGCGATACGTTTTACACTTGAAGTAGTATAAAAACAATTCCAAATTTATTATTATTTTTAGAACGAGAAATTGCAACTTTTTGAAAAAGCTGTCAAAAAACAAACAGATATAATGGTTGACAACATACTTGGTATGGGTATAGACATCCACTTACTGGGTCTTAGACAGGCGGCTAAAGAAAATGGTTTACCTTGTCCTTTATTTGAAGACGATTCATACAGAATTGCTAACAATTTTGCACTATCCACTAGTCAGGTTAATATCTTTTTTCTATTATCATTGAATAAATGTTATGAAAAATTAGATACAAATACTCAAATCTAATTGACAAATATCAGTTTTAAAATTATGTAGATACTTCTTTCTTTACAAATCAAATCGTAAACTATTTCCATATTGAAATATTTAAATTTTGAGAAAAAAATTTAAAATTTGTCTATAATTCCAGTTACTGACAACGACAGACAGCTTCGTGGGTTACGGACCAGTTGTACCCGATGGTTATGGAGTTTCCTACAATCCAAAACACAGTAGTTTAGTTTTTTGCATATCTTCATTCAAATCTTCCAGGATTACGAATAAAAACGCGTTCACAGCAGCGCTGGAACAAAGCTTGGTGGCAATGCAAAAAATGATGTATAAGAAAAATATTGAAACTTAAACATATCAAAATGTTACTTTAGAAATTTAAACATATCAAAATATTATATCAGTACCATAAACATATCATTGAGTGATAAATTAAGTTACGTTTAGAAATTTATAGTTACCTCACTGTTTTCATTTGTTAAATGATATTTATTGTTATTTGAATATTTATGTGTTCTGGTTCTAGTCAAAATTCTAGTCTATTGTTAATACATAATTAATTCTAATATTTATCTCGTTATCAATTACTTGTACAGAGTGTTCAGAAAGTAAGGAAATAGACCAGTTGTTACAAACAATGAGAATAATAGACACCCGTATCCTTTCTTACTGAACATTCTATATATTTTTTTTATATTATTTTTTAATAAGCTACTAAATACTAAACACTATGTATTGAAATGCATATGTAAGTAACTTTTAGGGTTGATACATTGAATTTACAAAATTTATATTTAATTGTTAATTTTTTTTAATAAATAATTTTATTTAATTGTTCCATCTTTATTAAGAATTGTTGATTTTTTTTTAATAAATAAATTTAATTTAATTAATCCATCTAATCAAAACGTAGAATAAATTTATTTAGCGATGTTAATTTTTTTTTATTCATACCATCTAGTGAACTGTTAAAATGTCCAAAGTAAAATTGCTGACAGAGATTGTAATCTTATCAAAAATTGATAGCCATATTTTTAAATCTTATAAGAGTTAAAATAAATAAATAATAGTTTCAAATTATCAGTATCGTAGCCTAAGTGATTTTAGAGACATACAACTCTCCAAGAACATTAATTCAAATAATTAAATTAAATATGAACTAATTTAAATATTACTAACAAATCTGATTACTATGTCACTTTTATATATCATCTAATTAAGAAAATGACTGGTCAATAACGACTTTTGGACCATTATTTCAAAGTCATTAACATTTTTATACTTAGGCAATAGGAAAAGAGAGGCCATGAAATGTTAATCATAAAATAGCATCAACAACCCACTCCTCATCTGTAGTCATTAGTTTAAATTTAGTTAAAATTGATAATAATTTCTGAAATACTGGTCCAAAAGTTGTTATTGATCAGTCATTTTTTGAATCAGATCATTTCCTATTTTATAAGTTGAGTAAATATGTATGTTACCTAAATGTATGTATTCAGCGTTGATAGTGGTAACATTGTTTCCAAAATACGTATCCGTGACTTTTCAGTCAATTTTTGTGGTTTTTGAGTTTCATATTTTTTAGTTTTTAAATTAATAAAATTTGGAATATAGTTTTAATTCTATTTAAAAAATGTATGTTACCATTAAAAAAAATAAAGTTAACACCCCTTTTTAGTTATAATAGATGATTTTAAAAATTACTTATTAGCTGATAAAATCAAGAATTATTTGTTGATAAATATGTGTTTCCATTAAAAAAAATAGACATAAGGCTTAACATGAAAAATATTTTATTACAGATAAATGGAGATATGTATGTAACTAACAAAAACTAAAAAAAAAATTATTTTAAGAGATATTCCAGTGGTTAGTGTTAAAAAAATCACTTGGTATATTTTTTTCTTTTTACTACATCACAATAATTGTCGTAATTTTATATATGTTTAATTAATAACCAAAAACAAAATGTATGTATAAAAAGATTTAAATAGTTTATATAATTATTTGTTTAAAACTATTCATAAAAAGTTTGAATTAATTAATGGTTTGAATTATTTCTATATCCTCCGCCTCTTCAAAAAAATATTTTTGTATAGTAGCTCTTAAATACGTTAATAAACATTTTCTATAATTATAAATGATTAATAATTTTATGAAATGATAACATTAAAAGCAAAAATTTTTTTCATACTTACATATCGAATACATGAAACAATACTTATCATAATTGTATAAAATTATGTTATTCCATAGAAAAATTATTATACTATAAGTTTTTAAAAAAATATTTACGAAATAGGTTATTACCTAAAGTATTTAAAATGTTATAGTTTATGAAGATAAATGTAAATTAAGTTAAGAATAAACGACTGTTTAAATGTATATATTTAAATATTTTATCTAAATTATTGCAAAATTAATATTTAGTATACTTTACTTGTATAAAAAATTAAATACAATAAAGTCATTTAATATTTTTAATTCACGGAAAATTTTATAGGATAAAAAAAAGAATTCTCACAACTATCAAATTTATATTTTGTATTAATTTATTAAGTTAGTGTTATTCTTAAATAACTATCTCATTAAGATTTTTTTTCTGTATTAGAATAACGTTTAAATATTCAATGCCCAAAAAATGTGCATCCGTCCCTATTAATTATTTAATTCAAAATTGTTATTTTGATCTTATAATAAGCGCTCTTTATATGTTAAAACGCAGACTCAAACATAGATTTATGATGACAAGTAAAACAAGAAAAAATTTAGAGCCTTTGGCTTTTTATTTAATTGAACTTCGTTTATATTTGTATTTATAAAATAATATTAGTTCAATATATATATACTAATTTCACTATTCTAAATAGTATTTAACTGAAAATAAACATTATCATGATTAAATTTATACTTGTTTAAGTTGTATATAGCAACATAAACATATTTTAAAAATAAAAATTTTGATTTTAAAACTCGATTCTACGAAATAAAACGAAGAAATCAGTTTAAACTAAAAAAAATTTTAAATAAAAATTGTAAAAATTAAAACAAAATACATAAGCATAAATTTTATGAAAAAATCATTGGATACTAGTTTGTTGAGAAACCATTATCGTATTTGAGAATTTTAATAAGTATTTTAAGAGGTACATATGATTATGTTTAATCATAGTCATTTCTGATTATAATCATTAATTATCATAAAATCTAGATGAACAGAAAAATCTTAACTCAAATTTGAAATCCACGAAAAATTTTGACTTAAAATTATATACATTCATAAACTATATGAAATACGTGTTATATTCAGTCAGTCTAAAATAAGATAGAGCAAAACCGTATTTATGCTTAAAATATGGTGAATTTAGTGAATTCTAAAAATACAGTTAAAACTAATTATATTAATAAAATTAAAAATAGTTTTTGTAATATTATGCACTAATTTATTGTAATTATACACATTAAAATAAATTTAATATCTTTTAAATATAAAATTCATTAAAAACTCTTATGTATTAAAACTCTTATTTATTTGAAAAAATGTATTTGTTAACAATATTATTACACGATTGTTCGCTGTATTAGATGGTTGTTGAAAATTTAAATAAAATTTTGTTCATTCATAATTTTTTTTCCGCTTACTTTGTTATTTATAAAATACCATGAATTCGTTTAAGAAAATATATTCATGTCAAGGTCCGTGCAAGTTAAGTGTGCGGTAAGATCATTAAATGATTATATTTTATCCTTACAACCAGAAAAATGTAGTACACAAAGTAATTAATTTTTAAAGATGTCTAAAAGAAGGCTAGTGGCAATATGTTCATAAAAAATAAGTCTACCATTTTTTATGAATATAAGGATGTGTTGGTTTAGAACGAGTTTTTTTCTATAAACAATGCCAAAATAATAAAAATGAGTTTTTCTGCCTAATTTTTACTTATATTTAACATTAAATGTCATTAAATAATTTAAACAATGATTTATTTTAAAGAATTCATTTAGGTATGTGTTCATTTGATACCGTAAAAATTCATATATGCCAAAAATTACAATTTATAATATATTTAGAAGTTGGTAGTCCTTTATAAAATTTTAAACTAAGTTTTTTACAGAACGATTTATTCTAAATACTTATGTTATATTTATAAACAACATTTGAAAACATTTTATTGCTGTGTTTATTAAGTAAAATTATAACTATAATTTTACTAGCTTAAACTAGTTAAGTTATAACATTTATTGTAATAATTATAATAAAATAAAGACTAAATTAAAAACTACTAAAATGAATTACTGTAAATTAACTTTGTTTTGTATTTTTATCAAACTTGTTATCGAGTTGTTTTTACGTATTTATAGCGTGTTGCAGTTGTATTAATTTTTTTTGTGCGTCCATCATTGAATTTAACTGTTTTGTATGTTCTTCCATCAGGAAAGGCTGTAAAGTATATGGTAGATATGAGCCTTTTGAACTACTCAAAGGCAATTCTAGTTGCGGTTGTTGTAACAATGGCCTTTGTACAAAAGATGTCAATTTTTGACATCTCTTTTCTTTTTGTAACTTGAAATTGATTGGAATTTCAGATTTTATTTGAGGAGGCGAGTTATTTGCGGTTGATCTCGACATTTCATTGATCTGTGATTTATCTGCTTCATTGCTACCTTTTTCTGATAAAGTACTCAACTCTGAATATTTGTTAGGGTTTTCAGATAATGTGCTGGGATTTTGGTCTCCAGTAACAAAAAATGGTTTAGTGTGGCCATTTACATAAATCACCATTATCACAAACACATAAAACTTTTCCTACAACAATTTTGTGTTAAGTTCAAAATAAACAAATAAGTATATTATTAGTTATTGCTCTTATTTTCTTTCGTGAGCCAACATAAATTTTATTTAGATGTCTTATACTTCATATTTTATACTCTTCTGATTATTTTCATAAACACTAATATCAAAAAATTTATTTAAGTTTTAAATCTAAGTAATTCAGTTTGTGAAATAAGTACTTTGAATTTTTAAAATTATAACTTAGGACTTTGGTAATTATGCATCAAGATTCATAACATTTAATATGCCTGATCTCTATTAAAAATATTTTATTTTTCGATATTCTAGTTATATACTAAATTCAATATTTTTTTTAAAATAAATCTTTGGGTATTTAATTAGTGTTTTTTATGATATAGCTTTATACTATTTTAATTATTATTAATTAAAAAATCTATTATATTATATTATATATAATTAAAAATAATTATGTTTACCATAATTTGTCAATTGTATTTTTTTTTTTAACTTCTTATTTTTATACTATTTCTTACATAATATTTGACTAACTATTAACAGAATAATATTATCGTTACTCGTTTATCTAAAATCAAATAATATATTTCCATAGTTGTATCTTTTTTTTGTCTTGAAAAAATCCATATTTTTTTAAACATAGTTCCACAAAAATATCAGTATGAATATTAAACTAATTAAATATTTTGCATAAACATAAAGTAACAAAAGTCTAAGGACTAATAGAAAATTCACACTTACCATATTTATTCAATTCGAACGTCTCGGATTCAATAACTGTAAATAAATATTTTGTAAAAGCAACACTAGTTGTAACAGATAAAAATTCTGGTAAACGAAATCCTTTTTATAGAAAACCAATAAAATGGTTTTTTTTCGCACGTCTTCTAAGAAATCATTTTTAAAGCCCATTAAATGAATATAAAATTTGTACTTATAGATAAATTATTATAGATAGAAATGCTAAAAATTGTCAATATCCACAACTAAATATCTATATGACTTCATGACGAAGTTTTGCATTTTCAGTATATTATTTGTTTTAACTATAATTTTTTTTACTACGAAATATTCTTATTTTTCAATTCATTTCAGAGTGCAACTTTGCTTTGGCAAAATTTTGACAAAAGCAATAGTTCAACAATTTAAACATTTTCAATAATTAATACAGAGTAATTCACTTATTATGAACCACTTGATTAATTGAAAAATAAGAATATTATTAATCATTTTTTTAATTGTTTTTTTTAGTTCAATCTTTTTTCTTAATTTTTAAATCATAAAGATTATTTTTATGTTCATACCTTTATATTCTTATACCTTATAATAGTGTCAACTTTAATTTCTCAAGAAAAAAAGACCTCTAATTAACTAGTTTATTTAATAAATAATGAATAATGATTAAACAAATAATGTGTAATTAGGAAAATGACTGATAGATAACAAATTTTGGATCAGTATTTCGGATGTTGACATATTTATTTCTAGATGAGATGAATAGTATTGCTGGGAAATTTTAAGTTGTAAAAATTGCAGAACCCACTCTACTCCTCCAGTCATACCTTCAAGATAATAATAACTTCCGAAATACTGCACCAAAATTTGTTATCGACCAGTCCTTTTCCTAATTATCTATTAAAGAAGCTAGATAGTTAGTAGTGTTGCCATTTGAGAAATTAATGTTTACAATTTTCTAAAGTATAAGAGATGAATAGCAACATTGAAATAAAAGAAACAAATAAAAAAATTATTAATATTATTTAAATTTTTCGATTAATTAAGTGTTTCATTATTAGAGAATCGCCCTGTATATTCATTTTAAAATACGTCATGATGAATAAAAATCTATCAAAAATCTTTGAGAGGTGCCCAGAGTAACACTCTATTAATCATCTAACAAGTTTTACCAGTGGTCAAAATTAATATAAATTAAATAGAAAATTTAATAATTATTTCAATAAAATTTTTTTATTAAAACAATGTTTATAAATTAATTATATATTACTGTGTACAATAAATATAAGTATTCTATAGTTATCATTTTTTTTTCAATTTGTTTGTTTGAATTTTTTTGTAAAGTAAGGTACTACTTTTGTAGATATTTTACGTTTACAAGATATCTAATAAAAAATTATCACATCTATATCAAAGATAGCATAAGTAATGATGAGAAAATCTAACTAGTGGAAATATTACGAGTTAAGTTATACACGTTTATATTGGCGTGGTGGATTTCTGAGATTGTTGAGATGTTCAGCATTTATTAACGCGAAAGGCTGTTTTTCACGCGGTAAAGATTTTATCCAACTGATCCATTCTCCTTCAGTATATGTTGTGGTAGAAGTAAATTTTTTATCGAATCCCGAAAATCCCATTTTCTGAGCCAAATCTGATTCTTCTTGTTGATATTGGGGTAATACGATTGGATATGAACTTCCTGAAGCGTAAAAAGGTCTTGCTTGTCCATTAACACATATTAGCAATGTTAAAAACGCTAATAATGATATAAAATTTGCCTGAGAACAGTAAAATCAACTTTAAGTGTAAACATTATTTTTATAGCGTTGGCAGTGATATAACTATAGTCATACCTCAAAAAAATTTTTTTTTAAAGGATAATAATTTTTTTATTGTATCCTAAACAAAAATATTATATCTTCATCACATAACAATTTTTTTTTAGAGTCAACCCCCTTAATTTCCCTTTATAATATCTCTAATAATTAGAAAAGTATTTATTCTAAAACAACTTTTAATAATATTTTATAATTGTTTAAGATGATTAACATTTTATGAGAGTCTGTAAGAAATTAAAGTATTAAAAATTGTATTAAAAGTAACAATTAATTTAAACTTATAATATCATCATCATATTATATTATTACATTAACACAAAATATTAAGTATAAAATATTATACAAAAAATTAAACAGATGAAAATTTTAAGATTTTGAAAAATGTGTAAAAAAAAATGTTGACTTTTTTTTTTCATTTATATTATTTCAAAAAAATTCTGAAAAAATTGGGGCGCCAAAATATTTGTCACTATTTCACACCAAAATCCTAAATACGGGTCTGGTTTGGTTGCATCTTATTTTTATAAAAAATTAATAAAACCAATATTTTCGAAGTAAAGAATTAAAGCTCCAATAAAAAAAAAAGATCTATTAAACAGACATATAAGATATATGTCTGCAAATGTCTATACTGCCACTTAAATAAAAACATATTAAATAATTAAATTATTGTATTCCCACTTCTTGATACATAATTTAATATAATTATTGTAAATGATACTTACCATTATCAATAGTACAAAAACAAATTTTAAACTAGGTATCTATGAGGTAGTTTGTTTTGATTTGATCGATTTTGTTGTAATAATTCATATAACTCTTAAATCAGAACAAATATACTATTGAAACCCTGTTTTTTTAACTCCCACCTCCAGTTCTTAGAATTTATTGTTGGTATCAACAATAACGAGTATACATACTATTATTAATTGAACTATAATTTATCTTATTCTCAACAGTGGTGTAAGACTATGTGCCTTTAAGGATTTGTGTTAATAAAATCTGTCATTACTCTGTAATATCAACCAATCAAGTGTATTGAATAAACGTCATGGGGAAAAACGTCTATTCAATATTTTTATTTCTTAATCTTATGTAATTGAACAGAATTGAATTAAAATTTGAAAAATATGATGAAAATATAAAAAAAATATGAATGAAATTTATTTAAAAATGTATTTGAAAGACAATTTGACAAAATTATGTTAAATTAAAAAAACTTTAACACGAAAAAAAATAAAAATCATGAATATTTTGTATAAAATTGAAATAATAATTCTCATTTATTTCTTAATTAATATACAGTGATTTCCATTCTTACTGTTTAACTTTTTTTTTCATAAAATTAAAGTGAAGTCCAATACCATTGGTATATTAGTCAAAATAATAATAAATATTTATGTATTAACAAGAATTTTTTAATCATCATCTCAAGATAAATAATAAAATAAACAAACAATAAAATTACGTATCCTCGGCTAATAAATCATCCTACATAAAATAAATAAAACATGTTTAACTATCAAATCTTAACAACAATAAATATAATTATTATTTATTATTAAACACTCATTAAAGATATTGTTCTTTTAAAAAACGCTTTTATAATAATATTAGATAAATAAGATTGATGGCTCCTATTTTACCAAAAGTCATTTTCTTAGGGCTTAAGTATACTATTATTTAATCACAAGAACCAATTATTAAAAGAAGTTTATTATTTTTTATTTAAAAATATAATTTAACCTTGTCACAAAATAAAAATTCATAAAATAATAATTTTTATTTGAACATTTTTATGAAAAAATTTAATACATTTTCAAACAAAAATCGATATTCTAACTATACGTACTGAAATACAAACGATTAAGGATATTTTAATCATAATCAATTCTGTCTCAAAATAATAATAAGTTTATTTTATTCGTCTTACTTGGTAATTTTCCTAAATAGTACCAAATATAAAATAAATAGCTTTTTTATTTTATTTATTTGTTTTATATCAATTTTATAAATGGCTCATTCTATTATTAAAATTAAGTTTAATTTATTAAAAATACCTCAATAATAATTTATTAGTATTTAAAAAATGTTATTCACGTTACAAAATGATTGAATTATAAATATACCTACAAAGATCATATACCATTATCAAGAAACGATAAATAAATTCAATTGACTATTTTAAACGAGTAATACAGTTATTATTTATTAACCACTACTATTTTCTTTATTTTTTTTAATTAGGTATTTTTATCATATTCAAAGCGAATTATTTTATGTAAATTCATATGAATATTTTAATTTGTTCTAAATACGTTTAAAATTATGATATTATACTATCATTTATTTTTATGCAGTTATTCCAAGGTCTGTACATTTTTTATTTCAATTCATGATTTGGTTCTTTCTTCATTGTATTATACATCAGTAATTATAAATAATTCGAAAATTCTTTAAGTAGAGAAGCCATTTAAATTTAAAACGCACTTGTATTAAAATTTTTATCAGCATAATATTCCTATTATCTGATTATTGTACAAAAAAGTGACTCAAATTTTTTACCAAGATCAAAGATTAATGATATACTAGCCTATGGCATTAAAAGTAGAAGCCAATAATAACAGTTACAAATTTATGATAGAAATACCCATGTAAACAATTTCTATAACCAGCAAACGAGTTTCAATGATTTATCCAGTAAGATAAAACTTAAAAATACATATAAACCAAGCTATGTTATTTCATTCGTTAAAATTTAGTTATAAATAATTGAAACAGGACATTAATTCAAATGTGTTTAAAATTACATAAAGATTTATACAGTCTTTATTTTTATTAATAAATAACTTATTATATGTTTTTAAATAAAAATTATAGATACAATTTTTAATATCTTAATAAAATTTTTTGGGATAGCCTATAGCTTTTATAATTTTATTTTTCAAACTGGGATTTATTTAATTTACATCTAAATAAGATACATATTTTATTCTTATCGATAATTAATAATTATTATAATATAACAAATAAAAATTAAAACTTAAGCACAAATGTATTATTAATTGTTAAATATTCTGAACCGAATAATACCAAATATTCCATGCCAAATACTCAATAATATCAACTTCTTAATCGTTTTTTCCAAAATTAGAATTTGGCCATTGGCCATTTAATAATGTAACTAAGTATTGTGTAAATCANTTTGGCCATTGGCCATTTAATAATGTAACTAAGTATTGTGTAAATCAATATTAAAATAACAAAATGCTATAAAATAATTTTTTTCTTGATGTCAACAAATTGTATTCAGAATGTCTTATTTTTTTATTACACTTGTGAATTTAAACATCTCAATTTTTCTCTTTATTATAAACTAATTCATTTAGAAGTAAATAGAAGAATAAATTTTTTCAACAGTTATGCCGTATATCTGCTTTTCGTCATTTATGATATTTGATACATATAATTGTATGATTATTCAATTATATGCAAATAATTATATAATTAACAAGATATCGAATCCTCCCCATAAATAATCACTTAAATAGGAATACATAAAAAAAAACCCCAATACAATCAAGATACTGTAGACTTTTTTTTAGCATTTTTTCTCATATTTGGAGGAATAGAGCCATCAATTTTCAAGAATTAGTTCAATAACATCCAAACCCTAGTTATTGTTTATATCTATGATTCACATAAGTTAGAATATTAGTTAATATCAGCGATATATTCGCATAATATCCTTGTTTTATTTTAAAGTATACGCTGATTTATGAATATATACCCTTCAATATAACTAGTACATAAGTATTATTTTTCTAGAGTACACGCTAATTAAAAAAATTGTTTATTGGTATACGCCGTATACCCGCAAAATATCTCTGGTTAATATGAAAAATTTGTGACAACAGTTATTGTTATCCATTGTTATATAACAAATATTTAGTTTTTACATTAAAATAATTTAATGAATAAATATTATAACTTATAAAATAATATAGAAAACATAAATATAACAGATATATTTCTAATAAAATATTAAAAGATTATTACAAAAATATATTTATAAAAATTATACATTTTTACTGTTATTTTTTATTTGAACATAACTACGAATAAGGTATATTCATTATAGCTTCCGCCCTATTGTAATGAACCATAGTATTCCAATTTTAATAATATCATTCATTTGTATTCAAAAATCAGAAAAACCCCAACAAATTATTTATTTGTATCAAAAAAATGTTCTTTAGAAATATTTACTGTGTTAATTAAGTTAATTGTGTTTAAAATATTTTATTGTGATATCTGTAATATTCAGTTATAATATTTTTATGACTGGAGGAAGCGTTAGGTCGAGACATAAAACCAATAAAAAATGTTAATACTATTTTGACTTTTCGATTTACTAAGTGGTCAATTTAAAAGAAATAATGTAATTTAAATTAGCTGTATTAATGATAGCGGTTTATAGATGTCTACATAAAACAGCTAACGATTGTCTGTTGATCGGTGGTTTAATATTGAAATGTCCCAGTAAACTAAAAATTACAATTCTGTTTACTACAATATCAATATAATCTAAACGCAATACAAGATCGTATTATCTAAAATGATATAAATAACTGATGTTACATTTTTATAAATAACAATACTTGATCGAAACTATAGGTTTTGAAATTAAATCAAGGTACTAGAGCCGGGGTGCTAAAGCATCCCCGTTAGTTGCACCACTGATCCCGCACAATAAAAAGTTGAGAATACTCAACTTTTTATCTTACCTTAAAGGCCTCTACAAAAAAAGGATTAAGTCGCATTACACATAATGATAATAAAATAAAAATAGGTTGCGGAGTGTTACTCATCAAAACTTGATATGAAATAAGACGTGATAACCTATAATATTTTACTGTTATAAATACATAATATATCTAGATAATTGATTAAAACTTAAAAATAATAATAATAAATCGAAAAAACTGTAACTAGTTTTTATCACATACATATAGGTTTAAGAATACTCATAAATAAATTTACAATTATTTTAAACTTAATCACTATTGATAATAACTAAAATGAATTGATTTTTATAGAATAAAAATCACAACACATAATATTAGTTATAAATTATTTTACAACTACATTTATAATAATTTTAATTATTAAAATGTAAATTATGGTTATTTAATACATATATTGAATTATATAGTTTGAAAATCATATATGAAATGATTATAAATAATAAGTTTAAATTATTAAATAAATTATATTTAAAAACAATTAAATTTTTTGTATTCTAGATAATAGTTTTTTAATAATTATATAAAATACATCATAATCATAAAGAATTATCATTATGTTGTTATATAAAATAATTTAAAGTAATTGAAATTTTTGTTAAGTTATGAAATATCAACTATTTATTACGATTCCTTATATTCTGTTGCATTTGTTGATAATTTGAAATTAATTGACTCTGTTGCTTTATTAAATTTTCTTGTTGCCGGACTAATTCTAAAAGTCGTCTTTGTTCTTCAATTGATAAAGATTGTGATGATTGAGGTCTTGTTTGTGATACTGATTGTTGCTGTGAAGATTGGAATCTTTGTGACAAATCTTGAGATTGAGGAGGTGTAAATGACTGGGAAAATGAAGACTGTGGGTATGACGTTTGTGACGATGGAAGCTGCTGAGGATTTTGTGGATATCTTGAGCTATTTAGGTGTGCAGCATTAATGACTGAGAAAGGCTGTTTTTCAGGCGGTAAACTATGAATCCAATCGATCCATTGTTTGTCATAATTTATTGTGGTAGCATTTTCGCCGAACCTATTATCCAAATCAGTAGTATTTTGTAAATACTGAGGTAACACGTTTGGGTATGAACCTCCTGATGCGTAAAATGGCCTTTCTTGACTTTTAACACAAAATATCAAAACCGTAAATATAATTAATGATATTAACTTTCCCTGGAAATCAAAGTAAATTGTATTTTAATGATAGCACTTGAAAAAAACAGAAAATTATTTTTAAATTAACAAAATGTTTTTCCTATTAAAACAAGTGTAACTAGAATATAAAATACTATATATAGTAAAATTATTGTTGCAATTACTCATACAACAATATTCAAAGAGCTAAGTATTTAATCTTTGCCAGCTCAAATAAATATATTATTATTCAAGTTTAAAATTAATTATCAAACTTAAACTAAATTTTAATCTAGTTTTAGATACCACCTAGAATAGTAAAATAACTTGAATAAAACAAATTTTACGAAGAAGCCAAATAACGTTGTCAATTGTATGCTATTTAATGGCATATTAATAATTCGCAAGTTTTTAGAGTTAAACCTTAATTTATGAATTTTGGTAGCTAAAATTTAGTCTTTCTGTCCATGTTAAAGCAAAAATAAAAAAAGTTGAAATTTTTTTAGCTGTATCACTATTTTTAGCGATAGATAAAATAATTTTTTTTAAATTTCAAAGTAAATTATCATTATTTATTTTGGTATAAAAATATAGTCACAATACTTTTTTGTCATTTAATACAATTTCACTTAAAATTTATCTAAAACATTTTTTTTAAATATATGTGTACACAAATTGACATAAAGACAGAGGAGGGTGTATCTCAACCTTATAGTGAATTTGGCGCATAAGGAAAGTCCTTGTCAAAACGTTCATTCACAAACTTCAATACAGATACTTAGTGAAATTTTAATATTTATAATACTTAAACATTTAATTTTTATACTTAAAATTAAAAAAAATAACTATTTTAATAGTCCTGTTTGAACAATTATGTACCAGTTTTAAACAATTTTAAACAGACAGGAGTAATTAATTTTTTAAAAAACCAAATTATTTATTATGCATTGAATGTTTTTAGTAGAACAAATTATTGCTGTCCATTATTTGTCTCAAAAATGAACACAAACGACGGTTGAAATTTCTAGGAACAATTGAAATACAAGATCCTTTTAAAACCACAATAATTACTATTTCAATAAAAAAATTTCATTGAATGTAATAAGGTTGAATAATGGATTTTTTAATAATATAAATATTTAAATATATGAGATTTAATAAATATAAAATCTGTAATCATACTTGAAATTAAAAAAAATTAATTACACATATTAAATAATTATGAATTATAATACTTACCATACTTTCAAATTCTAAGACAAAATTATTAAAATGTTAACAATGAACTTGTATGCAGTTTTGTAGTTTTCTCGTATTTAAAGATTTAAAACTTATTGATAAACACGTTATAAACACTAACTAAATCCGGAATAGTAGACACTACCTACCGGAAAACCTGTTTAATTTGCGAGTAGAGTGGATAACACACTCCCTTCCACATATTTATACAGAACTCACATAATTAACTAGCTGTTTTAGTAAAATTGAAATTTTATAAAATAATATATTTGCTTTTAAAATGTGCAAATTTATTTATAACCGTAAAAAAATACTAAAATTTACTAAATTTTAATATTTTACTTAATTATTAATAATTTAACTTAAATACTTAATAAAGCAAACTTAAATAGGCAATTTTAGGTGAGAATATCAACATACTACATAAAAACGGTTTTCATAAAAAACCCGTTCTTATTTTTCAAACATTAAGAAAAAATATAACAAATAAACGTCATTAAACATAATTTTTTACTTACTATGAAATTCTATAATTGCTCAATTTGTTACATATTTAAAAGTAAGAAAATTGGTTTTAATTAAAACAATGAGTTAACTGAGTAAATTATATTTACTTGTCTTAAAAGAAATAAATACATATATATATATATATATATATATATATATATTGTGTAGTGAGTCATGAAAATATGACAAATTCAATAACTTTTCATCCAATTAATATTTAACATTAATTTCTTTTTTAAATAATTTTCATACTTTAGGATTATAGAAATAACATAATATAACATATTATTTAATTTAAAAAAAAAAAAAAAATAAATAAATAAATAAATAAATATTTACGAAAAATATCAAGATAGCCATTTTGTATAGTATCTTATCTTATTATTTAATAAGACAAGGAAAAAAACGCTTTTCTGGGAAAATTACTTAGCGTGTTCCGATTTTCAATTTTTTTTTTCCAACGAAAGTATTAGGTCACCAGACTCCGGGAAATTTATTGGCAAAGGTCTGAAAATTTTTGACGCTCTCTGACGCCAGCGGTTTACGACTTAAAGTTTGAAATTTTNTTAAATAGGCAATTTTAGGTGAGAATATCAACATACTACATAAAAACGGTTTTCATAAAAAACCCGTTCTTATTTTTCAAACATTAAGAAAAAATATAACAAATAAACGTCATTAAACATAATTTTTTACTTACTATGAAATTCTATAATTGCTCAATTTGTTACATATTTAAAAGTAAGAAAATTGGTTTTAATTAAAACAATGAGTTAACTGAGTAAATTATATTTACTTGTCTTAAAAGAAATAAATACATATATATATATATATATATATATATATATATTGTAGTGAGTCATGAAAATATGACAAATTCAATAACTTTTCATCCAATTAATATTTAACATTAATTTCTTTTTTAAATAATTTTCATACTTTAGGATTATAGAAATAACATAATATAACATATTATTTAATTTAAAAAAAAAAAATAAATAAATAAATAAATATTTACGAAAAATATCAAGATAGCCATTTTGTATAGTATCTTATCTTATTATTTAATAAGACAAGGAAAAAAACGCTTTTCTGGGAAAATTACTTAGCGTGTTCCGATTTTCAATTTTTTTTTTCCAACGAAAGTATTAGGTCACCAGACTCCGGGAAATTTATTGGCAAAGGTCTGAAAATTTTTGACGCTCTCTGACGCCAGCTGTTTACGACTTAAAGTTTGAAATTTTCACCAGACCCGCCCAATGACATTTCTAAGATATGATAAAAAAATCAATTCAATCTGTTCATTTTTCTCCGTTTTACGAGCATTTTTTTTTTTTTTAAGTCCATGCGCATGATTTTAATATGGACATTCACTCATTTCTGCACATATGTTTATTATGTACCTTAATTTGTAAAGTATGTATTTTTATAACGATTTAATTTTCTTTTAAATTCATAATTAATATGCGGTGTTATTAATATCGTATGTTATTGTTATTAATTGATTTTATTAGTTACTATTATCTTTTTTTATATTATGTTTAGTTTATTAACCATACTTTTATTAAGATACTTTCTGTCGATTTGTTTTAAATATATTTATAATACAAATTTATTGATATATTTTCGCTATTTTCACTTTGAATTTTTTTTTATGTCCACGCAAAGTTTATATTAGAAGACTATTTTGCATTTAGTTATAACACTTTATTTTATCAAGGAATGTTATAAGTTATGTATAAATTACAAGAGAGTTATAATTTTATAAGTTTGAACATTCATTATCAGAACAGTACAGAATTATAATCTTATTTTTCTCATATATGATGTATGAATCTATGAGTTTATCATAAAAATTGGGATCCATCTATGATAATTATGCTATCGAACGTCAAATCACAGTTACCAACATTTTTACTAAGCAAAGCCTAGTATTGTAATAAAAAAAATAGTAAAAAAAAATATCTTATTAATGTTTAATAGTAAATTATTAGTAAAATTTTAAAGTTTCAAAGATTTGAATTTTTGTGTTTAATTTTGCGATACCAAACATTAAATTGAGAAAAGAAGAGAAAAAAACGAAATAATATCACGTTAAATATTTGTTATAATTATGTAACTTCTCCCATGATAATAATGTACACTTGAATGAACGCCAGTAAATGAACTTAAAAATGTGATAGATAGAAGATAGCAAATCTCTTTGGTATTTATTTATCACAAGTCAAAACAAGGCCTTTGTTTATTCCAAATAATAAGATATTTGATATGACAATCTTCGTTAATTTTCTGATCTACTGAAATTAACAAATTTATTAATATAAAAGGTTAAAAACTCCAACTTGTATCGTAACGATTATTTAAAACTGAATTTATCTAACTATTTTATGCTTAGAGTTATAATACTTTATAAATTTTTAATTTATCCATTACACTATTGTTTGGCTAAATCAGCTTTAACATTATAAAATTCACGTTATATTTTTGAACCAAAGTTAATAGTTATGTTTTATTTTTAAATTTATAAATATGAGTATGTGTTTAGCATTGATAATGGTAACATTGTTTCCGAAATACGTATCCGCGACTTTTCATTAATTTTTTGTGGCTTTGAGTTTAATATTTTTTAGTTTTCTTTTTTTTTTTAAATTAATAATATTTTTAACATAGTTTTAATTTTACTTAATTAATTAGCCACAAGTGATCAATTTTTATTATATAATGATGTCTATTATTAATATACTCAAAATTATTAGTGTATTCAATCATTAAATCGTGTAAGATAATATTAAAGTTTATTATAATTTTGTTGATTACTATTTTTGTTATTTATTTTGCATACATTTTTTAACTCAATTTAATTAATTGTAGGACTTATTAGTATTTATAATAAATTTAATTTATTGACTAAAATGCAGTTGCATATTTATTTTTTTCATTATTTGCACTAAAATTATTTTAGTAAAAGAATTGTTTAGTGCATTAAATACTTATTCTTGTATTTTTGTATATTAATAATAACAAAAAAAAATTTATTAAATGTTAGTTTACAAGTGATAAGTACATATTTTTAAGGGGAATAACAATAATTGTTATATAATATTAAATAATTATTATTTAATATTATACAATGTTTAACTACTGATAAATAAAATATCAAAGAATAACACATGTGAAAAATGTATTGTTAAAAATATGTGAAGCCTAATTTTGAAACAATTTCATTGTAATTATTATTAAAAAAAGGAAAGGCTATTCAGATATTTTTTTCAATGAAATATCAAACTGATTTCAATAAATATATATTAGATTTTAAAGAAAAAGAACTTTAAATAAAAAATTTTTTACTCCTTAATATTTTTAACTTTTCTTTGAGCACCACTGGAGATTATAATGGTTTTACTAATAATTTAACATTGATTATAAAACTCATGTCACAAAATTAAAATTGTTTAACGATGAGTTAATATATTTTTACTTTTAGACGAAGCAGAATTTTTAAATAAGAAAAAATTAACTCTACTTATATATAACCAAAACTTACTCATTCTTAGCATAACTTATATTAGAACTTGTAGCAAAACTTACACAGTTTAATATTATTTTTATTTTAGCTTCGATGCGAAGCTGAAAAGGTATTAATTTTACCATGATGTGTTTTTTTTTTTATGTCTGTTGCCACTTTTTCTTAGCTCTCACTGGACCGATTTCTTTCAACAATACGTCAAAAGATCACAAATCGTATCTAGTTGAAGACATTACCCAAATTGAAAATTAAAAATTGAAAAATTTTCCCTCGTTCCCCGCAAATGGGAAAATATCCAAACAAATTAAAAATCAGTAAATTTTGTAATTTTTTTTCACTTTTTTTTCTTAAAACTTCCATAACTTTTTCAAAAATAAACAAATCAACAAAATTTTTTTTTTATACTAAAACCTTAGATATTTTACTTTCATTTGATATCATTTTTTTGAAAATCTAACACTTAACCTGCTCATTGTGAGAATTTAAAATAGCAACTTTTTTACAAAAACTAACTTTTTCAACTTAATTTTTGAAAATGTTCCGGAAATACTGCGTCCTTTAAACATATATCAAATTAAAGCTTATTTTATGTACTATAAAATGAAAAAAAAAANTGTCCAGACACTTTATCTTCTGCAGGTAAACGGCTGCCATAGTTAAAAAAAACGTTATTTTCGTGTTAAAATTTTCGATTTTAAATTTTCAACTTAAAAATGCTATAACTTTTCAAAAAATGTATGTATTAGCACAAATTTTTTTTTTCTAAATACATTATAAGTACATCTTTCATTTGGCATACTTTTTATTAAAATTGGACAATTTCCCCTTATATAGGGGGCGTTAAAACTTGAAACATTGTATAAAACACAGAACTTTTTCAACTGAACTTTTGAAAATGTTCCGGAAATACTGCGTCCTTTATACATATATAAAATCAAAGGTTATGTTATATACTATAATATGAAAAAAAAAAATTTGTCCCGGCACCTTATCTTCTATGTGCAAATGGCTGTCGAAATTAAAAAAAAATGTTATGTTTGCGATAAAAATCACCTTTATCGGGATGTTTTTTGTACTTAAAAGTTCCATAACTTTTTCAAATATTAACAAATCAAAATAATATTTTTTTATGTTG